GGGGAAAACAGAAGAGAGAAACAAAAAAAAAAAAACTATATATATATATATATATATATATATATATATATATAAAACTGAAATTAATTAGGAACAGTGTTAGGTATCATGTTTAAAACTATATATTACTTTGCACACTAATTTGGAATAATTCAGATTGTTTGATGTTTTTGTAAGAAGTCTCTTCTGTTCTCCTAGGCTGCATTTAAAATACAGCAAAAGAGTGATATTGTGAAATATATGATTAGATCATATATTATTATAATAGCTTTATAAACAGACATATTGTGAAATACATTATTACAATTTAACATAACAGTTTTCTATTGTAATGTTACAAAATGTAATATATTCCTGTGATGGCAAAGCTGAATTTTCAGCATCATTACTCCAGTCTTCAGTGTCACATAATCCTTCAGAAATCATTCTAATATTCTAATTTGCTGTGAACAATAAATAATTATTTTATTTTATTTTTGGAAATACCTTTTTTAAGAGGACTCTGTGATTAATAGAAAGTTCAAAAGAACAGTACTTATTTGAAACGGGACTTTTGTAACATGTCTTTTTGTCTATTGATCAATTTAATGTGTCTTTAATGAATAAAATCTTTATTTATGAATCTTACTATTTTTGACTATTTTCTACAAAAAATATTAAGCAGCAAAAACTGTTTTGAACATTGATAATCAGCATATCAGAATGATTTCTGAAGGATCATGTGACACTGAAGACTGTAGTAATGATGCTGAAAATTCAGCTTTGCATTACATAAATAAATGATGATTTAAAATATATTCAAATAGAAACCAGACATTTTATTTTTTATAACAAAATAATTGCAACCTTGGTGAGCAGAAGAGATTTCTTTCAAAAGATAAAAATCCTAATTAATCCAAACTTTTTATTGGTAGCTTATTTTTGAATTATCATTTGTTTGTGTGTATAGATCCATGTACAACAACATAGTGCTTGCAACAGATTTTTTTTAGCACCCCGAGTTCATTGATTCGTCATTACATAATTGCAGTTAATAACTGCTTTATAGACTGCCTACGCTTGTTAATGGAAACTGCTGTATCATAAGCTCAAACAGCTCCCCTCTGACAATCTCCCTGCTGTAAACCATGCTCTTTATTAACATTTATTTCTAATTAGAGACGGGATACACGCACTTCCCCTTAGGCAAACTAAAAAAAAATGGTAAGACTGCTGTTATAAAATTTTCAAATCTAATTTTAAATTGCTTGTATCTTATTTAAAAAAATAAATAAATGAGTGAATACCACAAAACCATATCCATTTAATGTTATTCCAAAATTTGTATAAAATAAACATATTTTACTTTCAAATATTTTATTTTGTTATATTTAAAACACTTTTTATAGTGTGTATGTATATATATATATATATATATATATACGCGCACACACACACACACACACACACACACATATATATATATATATATATATATATATACACTATATTTATGCTGAAATAATTAAATATAAAAATACTTTAAATATCTGAAATATAATCCAATATTAAAAAAATCAAAAACATCTGGACACATTACATTAATGAAACGTTGGAAGCAACTGTCATGAAAATTATGAACATGAAAAAAATTCTTACAATAATTTACTAATACCATCCAAAAGTTTGGGGTCAGTAAAAATGCATCTTTACTGACCCCATACTGATCAAACATTACAGTAAAGACATTCATATTGTTACAAAATATTTATGTTTCAAATTAATTCTGTTTATTTACTCTGTTCTTTTGAACTTTCTATTCATCAAAGAATCCTGAAAAAACTGAATCAGTTTTCATAAAAACGTAGCACAACTGTTTTCAACATTCACAATAATAATAATAATAATAATAAATCTTTCTTGAGCAGCAATATTACATGATTTCTGAAGGATCATGAGACACTGAAGTCTGGAGTAATCATGCCGAAAATTCAGCTTTTAATCACAGAAATAAATTGCATTTTAAAATATATTCAATAAAAAAAGTCCTTTTAAATTGTAATACTATTTCACAATATTACCATTTCTATTGTATTTTTTTAATCAAATAAATGCAGCCTTGGTGAACATAAGATGGCCTACTTATTTCAAAAGCAATCTTACTGACCCAAACTTTTGAACGTTACAGTATGTATATTATTACAGTAAGCAACATGTTCTGGATATGTTTTGTGAGATTCGCCCGTCTGCGACGAGAGCGAACACCGTTGTCACGTCTCTACCGGGAAGCATTGTGCCTGCTTCATGGTTTAAAAATACACCACCAATCTCATCGGGATAAAACAGTCGACAATTGGTTCTGGGAGATTCCTGCTCTTGTCTCTGCCTTAACCGAGTCGGATTTGCGAGACAGGGCCGTAAGCTCCCGACAGCGGTGAGCAGCTTTCTTTGTAGTCGTGAAACAATGCCTAAAGCGGTACGGTAGGTATGTCACAAAAACATGTGACGCCAAAAACCAGACGGCCACCTGCCCCGCTTGACAGAATGCAAAGCCCGGGATCCAAAGCGGCTCAGCTGACATCATCCACCAGGCCTTTCGGGTCCCTGCTGATGTTGTGGTCGCATCATATCCTGCCAGCTTTACTAGGTCTCCATTGGTGCACATGAATGGATCCGAGGGTCAACAGGAGATGATTTGGATCTCAGATGTTTGAGATTCTGGAAAGGTAATAAACAACGTGAGCCTATACATCCATAAATGTACAAAAATACATGCATTAATAATTCCTTAGAGGTCTAAGCTGGACTAATGGATTGAAGGCACCATGTGTCACTAATGGCTGAACTCTAGTATGGTCTTGTTCATGTGTGTTCTTACCAAAGGTCCAGAAAGACGAAGAAAATGGCATGCAATCTGGTCGACTCCTCAGGCCAGCTGAGAGGCTTGTGGGGCCACGTTTCATTGATTTGCCTCGCTTTAATGGATTTCATTGGAGCCTCTCGTGATTCCGCATTAATATTTCATTACTTGTGTCTTCCATTTCCTGCGCTAGGCTAGCTTACAGTGAAGTGCTCTGGGTCGATGTACTGCTGCTACCAGGAAACGGCCAAAACCCTGAAAAAACCCGATCCTCGTCTGCACCCAGGGGGGCAAACTCGTGATTCGAAATGTCAAAAGGGCAAAAATGAATCGGGTGAAGACATTAGTCAACAACTCTGATCTGCAATGAGACTCACGTGCTCGCGCGCTTGTGAATACATAACCTTGTGTGGTAAATTTTTTCATATGAATATTTGAAAAGCAAGGTTATTTTGTCGATTCGAATGGTTTTGATCCATGCTGTACCTGAAATAACTAGATGTGGCGTTTTTAGTTAGGAAAATCAATGTTTGATATATTACTGGGTTGAGGTGAATTGCAGACGGTAATGTATTCGAGTGCAATAGTGCAAACTAAAGACATCAGACATATACAGGTCAGATGAGCTGCTGGCTCAGCACACCATGCAAAGATGCTTTTCTTAAAAATCCTTTCAGGTGCTGCTTCAAAGGATCCATCAACGTCAATGAAGTAAAAAAAAATGCATTTGACAAATAGTTAAAAGAGTTGAAAATTCAGTCCAACTAAAGCACCTTAAAAAAATAAAGAGCTTAAAAAAAAAAGGTTTAAAGACATCTTATGTACGTTTAATTTGGATAACTGGAATAAGAAATTCAGAAGATTTATCCTTAAACATGAAAAGGATATTTTTATATCATATTTAAATGTACATTACCTTACTAGCCTGTTTACCATTAAATAATATTTGATAACGTTGAACGATGAATTGAATTTCAAATACATTTGTTGGAATTTCATGACAAACGCCTCACCTGAACTGAACATACTACATTCTGAAAGACAAAATAAAACATCTAGGGTTTGTGAAACGGACAGCGGATGTAATATGGGAGGGAATAACCGTTACTGTATGTGTTACGGAGTAAAAAGCCACTAACAAATACTTGAGCTTTGGTCAACAGACCTTAATTAGTGTACTGAATGCAGCGGTTTAATGATGAATGGATTTGTGAACAATTCACACAAATTTGAGTTTTAAAAATGAGGTCCAGTATGTTTTACGCCCATTATAGCGAACCACCGGAAGGGACATTTGACTGATTATCATTAACTCATAATTAAACTTCAAGCCAAAACCATAACATAACCAACAGTCAAATATAAATTGATTCAGGTCACCACATATTAACTCAGTTTACATATCACAGTTCTCCAACAGCAGATATCAGCAGACTGCTCAGATTACACCAGCTGTTGACAAGTGCAAACACAAAAACCTGTATAAATGGGCAATTTCTAGGAATTACCGGTCACCTTGAGAACAGGCCGTCCAGGCAATTAAGTAACTCGAAAGCCTTTCTGCACAGATAGTTGGGAAAGCATTGGGAGATCTGTCAGGATTTGACAAACAGGACTGCTGCTTGATCAGTTTAGATTCTCTCATACTGACATTGAGAAACGAGCTAACTAAGTGTTAGTCTCAAGTACAGTGCATTATAAATAATTAACAAGCTTCTGAAAACAATAAGGCTGCTTAATCTTCCAGCTTCATGTAGGTCTATATATTAAACCGCATAAATACCACATGCAAACTACCTCATTTGCATACCGGCATAGAGCGAAACTAAAGGAGGACTGCTTTCAAGTCGGTTAAATGCAGCAACAATGTCTCAGCATTTAATATGCACAGCACTGACTGTTTTCCCTCAAGCAACTTCCCACTTGCACAGCAGGAATTCGCTGGTTTTATATGTTGAGTTAAGGTTGTTTTTTCTTTGACCATACTGTCACCTAGTGGTTACTCTAAGCTACTTCACAGTCAAGCCTCATTTGAACTCTGGAATCTTTTTTTTTTTTTTAAATGTTGGATGTGGTTGCTTGGTTACCACTTTAACCTTCAACTTTTTTGTAGGCAGGACTGAGATGGAAAGGTAACCATGGAGACAGGATTTATGCTCGGCGATAAAAAAATCCTGACATTGAACATTGAATGCAGTTTTGCAAATAATGATGGCGGTACGATTTAAAAACAAGCACATGAAATGTTTACTTTTTTATATGCCATACATGTTTTGCATACAGATTTCAAGAAAAAAAAAAGTATTACAAAAAAGGAGTGATAAAAGAAGGGTAAAACAACAACATGATTAAAAATGAACAATGGAAAATTACTGTTCAGTGCAAAGGGTTGTAGTGTTGGCGGGTGGACTTTCAAACTCCATCATTAACTAAAATCTGAAAATAACACTTGTTTCTGGCTCATACATTATTATGAGCTTCAAATCTCTGGACATTTTAGAGAAGCACTTGTTTAAAACGTGTTGGCTCAATGGGTTAAAATGACTTGGCAAATAGTCATTCAGTGGAGGGCAGTTGAAAAACAGCTAAGGCTTAAGAATACATTCCTGCGTACAAACAAACAGTCACACAAGCTTAAAGTAGTGTAGTGTTCGTAAAGCTTACAAACATTAGTGTGTCTGGATCAGTACAGTACTCGTATGGCCACATGACCTTTCTGTTAGTGCTGCAGGTGCATATTTGTAACAAACTACAATAAAAATGCAGTGGGCTCAAAGACTAACTTCATTTTGTCAAGCATACCTGATGTGTTACATGATTAAAGAGGTAGATGCCGTCAGTTATGACGCAAACGCCTCACCTGAACTGAACATACTGCCATGCCAAGTACTGTTTTATTTCTGAGAAACAAAATAAAACATCTAGGGTTTGTGAAACGGACAGCGGATGTAACATGGAAGGGAAGAACTGTTACTGTATGTGTTATGGAGTAAAAAGCCACTAACAAATTATTATACTTGAATTTCCATCAACAGACCTTAATGAGTGTACTGAATGCGACAGTTCAATGACGAATGGATTTGAGCAATTCACACAAATTAGAGTTTTAAAAATGAGGTCCAGGATCTTTTACGCCCATTATAGCGAACCACCGGAAGGGGACTTCAGTCAAATTGCTTGTGCATGCAATTATATAAAACATTTTTAAATAGAATAAAACTGAAAATGTTGAACACTGCTGAGAGAAATTTAAAACCCCTTGGCGGGAAACTCATTTGCAAGTTTATAAAACAATTTCTCTGGGGATGCTATTCAATTTCCAAAACGTTAAGAAAACGCTGATCAAATGTGGGAGTATTAAAGTAAAAAGGTACATCCATCCTAAAATCATAAAAAGGCATACAATCTGTGTGGAACGTTCTAGAGTTGGAATTGAAGTGTTAAGGTGAGTCTCTAACAACCACGATGACCAGGTGGTCCTCCTCAAGTTTCCCAAGAGTTTTCAGAGCAGTCTGGAGATACTGCTGTGAGAAGTCACATGGAGGAAAGGCATACAGCATGCCCCCCATCTCTCGTTCTTTGGGGCCGCCAAGGGGCAAGCCGATGACTCCTGCTGCCTGCTTGTTCCTGAGGTACGTCACCAGGTTGCGGAGAAGGCGCTGTTGAAGGCCCGGTTCTGGAGGAGGGGCATCGCGGTCCATGGGCCCCTGGACGGCGAGGAGGACAGCGTAGCCATCCGGGCTGCCTAACTTGATGCGTCGCGTCACCTCGTCCAGTTTGGGCTGATCCAACCTCAGCCGCTGAGCGATTTTAAGCTGCGTGATCTTGGAACCGCCTGATTGGTTGTCTTTCATGAGGGCGAGGAGAAAGTTCACGCCCCCCTCAAGCATGTGCATGTTTGTGGGGAAGCAGCTGTTTTTAAGAACGAGAGAACCGTGCCACACGCGACTCAATGTCTGGGCGTATTCGGAGAGCGTGCTGGGCTTTTTGGAGTCTGTTTTGGACTTGTCCGTCTGTGAGTCAGGGTCGCTCTCGCTTTTGCGGTGATTGCGATCGCGCTCCTCCTTCCTTGGATGCAAAGGTTCGTCCTGCGCAGGACGTTCATCGCTGGAGTGTCTGCTGATGTCAGGGGTGTGATCAAGAGGTTCTGAGGTGGAGTCCGGTAGACGGCCGCAACCCCTATCCGGGCTGTCTTCAGGAGTAGACGGTGCTCCGCCTCTGAGCTTTGACCTACCGCGTTCCTCTGCAGGACAGTCGACGGGACTGAGGCTCCTTCGCTTGCGCCGCTCCTCCCAGTTTTTCCCGCGTTCTAGCTCTCGTTCCTTTACCCAGCGCTCCCTGCTGCGGCTACGACTGCGCTGCCTGACCCGCCCAAACGCCTCCGGGTTTGCTCGCCGTTCAATTCCTTTAGGCGGACTCCAGTCTCGGTCCGAAAGCCGCTCTCTTTCTCGCTCCACGAACAGGGGGTGTGAGGGTGAGCGAGCCCTCGCTCTCAGTTCTCGCTCCAGGCTGTGATGGCGTCCGTAACCATCAGCTAGAAGATCGTAATGTGGAGGCGGGAGCAAAGGCGGCTGGTATTGTTGAGGGTACGCCCTAGTCTCCTCAGCTTTAGCAAAATCCACACGCAGCCGACGATTCGGACCGCCCAGAGGGAAGCCGCGCATTTGCGCACAAGCAGCCTGGGCTGCATCCAGGCTCTCGTAATGAATGTAAGCAAAATTATCTCCTTTCACATAGTCTATGGTGCGAATACTCCCAAAGCGATCAAATTCACGGGCTAAAGCAGCCAGCGAGGTGTTCGGGCCAAGTCCACCCACCCATAGCCGAGTCGTCGGATTGGCCTTCCCGTATCCGATCTTAATCGGGTTGCCGTTAATCATACGTCCCTGCATGGCCACTTTGGCCCGGTGAGCCATATCCAAGTTTTGAAATTTAAGAAAAGCATAAGCACCTCCTTGTCCACGAGCGGGCCGCTTAATAATGACTTCTTCAATAATTCCATACTTGTCAAATCCTTGTCGTAGTTCCACCTCAGAAATGTTATGATCCAAGTTGCCAATGAACAAATTCCTTGTGGCTCTCTGATCGTCCTCTGGTTTTAAGTCCTCCTCAGGAAGCTGATATGCATAGGCACGGCTTCTCTCCTCCAATGCGCTATAATAGTCCAAAACGCGGTCCCTGCTGAGTCCCATACCTTCAACGTAATTCCTGGGTCTCATATCTCGAAAGGCACTACTCCCAGCGCCCGGTGAAAGAGACCGCTGCCTGTAAGTGTAGGCAGCACTGTGCAGAGACACATAACTCACATCTGGAGGAGTGACACTGCGACGCCGCATGTACATGGGCTCAACTTTGAGTGGACGATCATATAGCACCAATCTGGTTTTGGCATGACGCGCTTCCCGCGCGTTTTCCGTGTGTCTGAAGTTGACATAGGCAATGCGACCCAGTTCTGGCGTGTGAGACAGCTTGATGCTCACATCCCCGAACTTTTTAAACTCATGAAACAGTCCGTCCTCTACATGCTCATCAGAAAGCTGCGATCCAAGGTTGCTGATAAGTAGTGTCTTGTATTCTAGTCGCGCTCCCACCGTGTCTGCGGATGGGGTCTTACCTTTAGGCAGGACTGAGGTGGTTCGGAGAGGGGATCGACCCAGCAGACCCAGTTCATGATGCGGGCGGTGATGCAGACTCTCTCTCTCCTCACGGACGCGCGGTTTTTCCCGCTCTCGGCTGCGGCTTCGTTTGTGATAAGCTCGGCTCTCGGCGAGCAGCAGCGCGAGGGGCGGGTTCGGTTCGCGCTCTCGGTCCCGCTCGCGGACGCGTTTGGCGAGCGTTCTGGACGGACTCGCGTCGCGCTCGGCCTGCCGCTTCATTTTACAGTGATGCTCCCGCCGCAAAAATATATAAAATCAGCTCCGAGGTGAAATCTCACGGCTCCGGGAGATTTTGCACATCCGTGAGGAGGGTCTTAACTAACGTCTGCAAGGGAAACCGTTCGCCTGGATGTTGAATTTCGCAGATAAACATAAAACAGCAAACATTAGCGTCCCCTCAGCTACATCTATTCCGCCATCTTGGACAAAAGGAATGTGCGCGCTGCGCGAGTGGGAGGAGACTACTGACGTCGGAACATATCGCGTGACGTTAGTTGTGGAAAATCAACATTGACAATAAAAATAAAGAGCGAAATGTATTCATTCGTTTCATAAGAATTAGTTTGAAGTGGATTAATAGCCTACTGCACAATACTATTTGTTTAAATTATATGTGAAATAATAAACACATTTTTGCAAATGTAATAGGCCTATGTTCTCTACGAATTCAGAAAATGCACACTATAGTATATACACAGCCAATACATGAATCACTATCATATGATACATATGAACTATAATGAATAAGAAAATATGAATTTCATATGACAATCCAATTTCTGTGCATGAACTTTAATGTACCAAAAGCTGTAATGGGATATACAAATACATGCAGAGACTATATAAATCATTTAATTACTATGGTAAATAGGTATTTTGGTAGTTAATTAAATTCTAATTCCCTGAAGGAAATTTTACAAAAAGTGACCAAGATGAAGCAGGTAAAATGTTAAATACAAACTCAAACAGTAAAATAATAAACAAAACAAAAAAGGATAAGACCAATTTCTTTTCTTCTTTTAATGAAAAAGACAGTATAACTGTATTAAACATTTTACAGCAAAGTCCACTCAAACTGACCCACACATTTTGAAGATGACTCATTCATTATATTTCATTAAAAAAAAAGAATAGAAAATGAAAATTAAACTAGCAGTGTGTCAAACATGCTTCCCATAACGTCAGGAGGCAAACACAGGTTGTGTTGGATATTAGTCAGAACTAACATATTGCAAGTTATAAATTAAAGGTTGTATTTTCATGGAAGTGCATTTATTCGGTTTCTTGATGTTTACCCCTGGAGTACATGGTAAAATGACAACACAATGCAAACCCCACTGTTAGGTGGTCAGTCAGCTGCACAGCGCAAATCTTCCACCCTAAATGCCTTTGGCCGCTGCCCTGGTCCCATAATTCCCTGTGAGTTTACAGATCTGTCCGTGCCTTGGCCGCGTTGGGCGCATACTTGGGCATTAGCTCATTGATCTTGCGGATGAAGTCGGATTTCTCCACGCATCCTTTGCAGGATTCGCCCCATTCCTCCAAAATTTTCTTCAGATCTTTCACTTTCAACTTCTTCAGGTCGACGGAGCTCAAGTCAACTTGTTTATCTAGAAGAGAAAAAATAACAATGACTTGCAGTTCTGTCATTGATCCACCACATTTGACTTGAAAAATAAACCACTTAAAATAATAATAATAATACTACATGTAAAAAATTTTTTTAATTCCATTTAAAATAGAGTGGATATAACGCAATATATCGACCAGATCGATTAATTAGTCATCTTGAGCTGGGCAGGATGCTTAAACAAACAGAACAATGGATATGATATGGTTATACATTCATATTGGTCAACCACTAGAGAGATGCAATAAATTAGTCAGTGGAAACTTTTTTTTTTCTATGCAAACAAACTTTTCAACTTACCATATTTCAGTTCACAGATTTGACTGTCCTTCTTTTTGAGCTTTTCACAGATCTTTTCCACTGGCACATGGTAACTCATCGGTTTGGAAACTTCATTGATTATTTTTGTTGCTGCATCACTTGTTGCCCCTATATAATAACACTGCACATACACAACACATTAGAAGTAAGTATAAACAAGAAAACATTATGGAAGATAAAAGGAATATTTCAGCCGACAATGACAATTTGCTGAACTCTATCTCAGGCCATCCAAGACTTAGATAAGTTTGTTTATTCATCAGATTTGGAGAAATGTAGCATTCCATCACTTGCTCACCAATGGTTCCTCTGCAGTGAATGGGTGCCGTCAGAAGGAGAGTCTAAACAGCTGATAAAAACATCACAATAATCCACACCACTCCATCAGTTAACGTCTTGTGAAGTGTAAAACTGCATGTTTGTAAGAAACAAACTCATCATTAAGACGTTTTTAACTTCAAAATGTTGCTTCAGGCTAAATACTTGTCTTGTTTCGTCAGAATCAGAAGAGAAATATGCACAGATCAAGCCCTGTTTACAAGTGAAAACAGTCCAAAACAGCTCTAAACAAATATGTTGGTGGGTTTTGATGTGAGAGGACAACAGGAGATGGAATTTTTCTCTAGAGGAAACGTTATTATTGACAGAAGTATTTTGCTCAGAAGTGAAGGTTTGAAGTTACAATGCCTTAATAATGGATTTGTTTCTTATAAACTGAAGTAGTGTGGATTATTGTGATGTTTTTATCAGCTGTTTAGACTCTCATTCTGACGGCACCCATTCACTGCAGAGCATCCATTAGCGAGCAAGTGATGCAATGCTACATTTCTCCAAATCTGATGAAGAAAAACTCATCTACATCGTGAATGAACTGAGGGTGAGTAAATTTTACATTTTTGGGTGAACTGTCCCTTTAAACACACACTTACAAATCGGTTTTCTTTTCCTTTGGTCTCTTTGCAAGATTTTAGAAGAGCTTTTTCGATGGAGTCACTGTCGAACTTGACATCGTTGTCTTGTAGCGTCTGGTAAAACCGTTCCAGGAAACCCACACAGACTGCAACGCAACAATCATACACAAAGAAGTTCTATTCAATAAAATGAGTCACATTTATGAAAATATATAGCATAGTATAGTCAATTAGTCCTTTGTCGACCCCTTTGTAAATAAAAGAATAAGCAATTATGGCCAAAGGGTCATTTGAACAGGTGTGCCATCTAGATACGATGAAGTGCTTATTATTGATAATAACCTGCATTATGTAATCAACTGCGTACAGTATGGTATGATTTTACTGAAAAGAAAACCTAATTTACAAAATTACATAATTGCCTTTAAAAACACTCATATAAAATTGTGCATATATTATAAACACACATTATTACAGCACCTAACAGCACCCTAAAAAAATAATTACTGATGTAATAATTGAAGTAGTTAAAGGAAACACACGAAAAATACCTGATAATAATAATGAAGTAAACTAAATATACAGCATAAACTAAAGAAGATGGATAAAACGCAGATGTGGGATGCTCTTGACAGGAAATGTGTGTCCTGCACATGTTTATAATATTATGAACATATTAATCAAACTCACCTTCACACTCTCCATCCTTCAAAGCTTCAGTGCAGCTCGGCACCAGCGCCAGGGCCAGTGCCACAGAAAGCCCACTTAAATATATCATCCTCAAACCAAACAGACGCGTTTAACTACTTAAATACGCTATGAAAAAGTGCTAAACTGGGTTTTGAAAGATCATTAAAGATGCCGGCTCGACAAACACGCACTGTACCGATTCAACAGCGCTTCCTATTGAAAGGTCCCGCCCACTCTCCCATCTGATTGGTCGCCGTTCCACTCTTCGCGCGTCTATTGGTTGGCTCGTGACGACGCAACACGCACTCTTTTCTGAATGGGCGTGCAGTGCTCATCCAGGGAGTGAGTCCAGTTGGCGGCCCGTGATTGGTTGTGAAGGTGAATTCTCTTGGTGACGTGTTGGTTGCACCAGCGCCATGTTTGTAGTTCTTTGGCATTTGTTGACGTTATTGCGTCAGTTAACTAATCATTGGAGTGGGCGAAACGAGCTATTAATGTTTATGTTAGTAAGACTATTACAAAAGAAGACTATTTTGGCTGTGACATTTGCCACACGTTATAAGTACTGTGGTGGTCTGAAGGCAATAGGTAGTTGGTTTCAAACACCTGAATTAAACTTCAAAATACTTTTACTATAGCTCTACAAGCAATAAAAACCACATTAGCCTTCATTCAGGAAAGCGTTACTATGAATAGATATTAAACGAAACTTTCAACTGAGTTCTCAATACTAGGTCTGTTCACACCAAGAAAGACTATTTAGCGAAAACTGTAACAACAACTAGGCCTATATTAGATTCTGCCCCATTAGACAATATCATCTGTTATAAATGTGATCTGCCATGTTAAATGCTTGAGCAGTTTAAGTCAGATTCTGATTTCATTCATTTTTTTATCAGTTGGAAAAATTGCTCTGAATTGCTCAAAAGTGATTTTGATATTGTGTTGCTATAGCTGTTGTGTGAATGTTTTTATTCTGTTCAATTTAGAGCGATTTTAAAACGTTATGATTTTAGCTTATTTGATCTTTTTAATGGTATGGAAGCTTGTTTCAACCAAATAAAAAATGTTAATAGTGACTTTTTGTTGTTGTTCTCTCACAATCATGCTGCTAAAAAGAACATTGTGTATTTGGTGTAATGAAATGTGTTTATGCGGTTTAAGGTTAAAAAAACACATTATTTTCCACATACTGTACATTATTGTTTCTCCTCTATGCCCCGCCTTTCTGAAACGTGTAGATTTTTACAAAACTCATCGGTCTTAAAAAGCGAGGTGTGCTGTGATTGGTCAGCTATCCAGTGCGTTGTGATTGGCTGAATACCTCAAGCGTGTGACGGAAATGTTACGCCCCTCACTATACCGTGATGCCTGCGGCAACCACATGTGACGACCCCGGGCTGGACTCCGCTTCGTCCACGGTGAAAGCCGATCTGGCGATCCACAGCGCGAAGTTGAAGTATTTCCTCAGCGACTAGCACGGATCAGCTCCAGGCATGACGAAGCGGATATCGTCCTCTTTTGGAAGACCAAACAAAGTAGTTTCGCTTTCACAACGAAAAACACAGCGTCTTCACGACATGGCGGCGGCGGCGGCAACAACAATACTACAGCGAGAATAAAAGTTACGCCTTCTTTCTTTGCGTGAAGATGTGGGAAGAGTTGCATAACGTTGCCCAAATAGTGAGGTAGATATGTTGGGGACGTGTTAGAACGAGCTGTTTTAGGTAGGTGTGGCTGACTCTTAACTTTTATAAAGAATATCTCTTTGGATTTGAGACTTTAGTCTTTGCAACTTGACAGATCTTCTTCATGCACCAAGAGCTTGTAACACTCCAAAGAGAAAGAAAAAATTTAAATCACATTATATGACCCCTTTAAGTTCATCTTACTATTTTACTATTCAGAATTGCAAGATATAAACTGACAATTGGAGAGGAAGAAATCGGAATATATGTGATAAACAAAAAATCACAATTACTTTTATATTTTATGAATTTTATTTTTATTTTTTACGAAAAAAAATGCGAGGAAATAAAGGTCATAATTGCATGATATGAACTCAGAATTATGAGATATCACACAGTAATGACATTTTTTCCTCAGAATTGCAAATGTATCTTACATTTCTGTGAAGAAAAAAAAAGGCAAAACATCAAATACTTTTTCTTCTTCTCTTTATTCAGTGGCAGAAGCAATGTTCAACAGAATGGCCCTTTATGGGTAGTTCAAAATATTGAAAATATTCTGAATTAAAAGAAGAAATGTTGATTGTATACTGAGAATTTGCACTCTATTCCAAAGAAAGAAAGGAAGGCAAATATCAGTCGATAAAACATTATCTTTAATATTAGGCATTATTAATGAATTACACGTCACAGCGGTTAAGTGAGTAGGAAAAAAAAAAGTGTGTATTTACATCTAAAATCCACACCACATTTATTCATGCTAGCACAATATATACAGAAAAAATACTTTGAGAATACTCGTACAAAGGTTTTCGTAGTTCTGCATGGTAAAACAAAACGCTCTTCAGATTTCAATGCAAAATACACAAAATAACTGTAGTGATTAGGCCATTGAAAGATTTTTTTTTTTCTTTTTTCACGTTTGCAGTTTAGTTTTAAAAACACATTTACATCAGAAAGTACAAGGCAGACAATTAATTTCAGTCTATACATGATTTGTCCCTCTTGACCATATAAATACAAAGCTTTTGAAGGATTATATACACAAAATAAAGCCAAACATGGTGTGGTACGAACTGTAATGCAGACCAGAGCGTTTAGTATCCGTCTTTACTCTTTTTCCCTTTGCTCACCAATTTCATCCTCTTAGAAACGGCCATTTCCAATTTATGGCAATCAATCCTTTCAGCAAAATACAGGAAAACAAACCCAATATTTCATTAGCAAGTCACACTTATCATTGTTTACATGAACAGAAGGTCTTGAATTATAGATGCTGATCAGGGCAACATCGTCATGTAAAAAATAAAATGTCACCCTCAATCTGAAACTCTGAATCCAAAACTGTCGGTTTGCCTCCACGGAGATATCAAACATGTAAAATATGTACACTCGTTTTTTACATGGTTGTTTGTGCCAAATGGATAACCTTCATTTGATGAATTGGGATTATAATACGTTTCAAACTTATATTTTTTGCTTGAATATGCAAGCAAAATTATAATGGTGAATGAATACAAGACACACAGTATCCGTCAGTCTGTATTTACATGCAAAATGTCTAGGAAGCCATAATAAGAAATGCTCAGAACAATAAATATTAATGTTTTTTAGTTTATCAGTGCTAATATTCACAGAATGCCCTGTTGAAAAAACTAGCATATGCTGGTTAGGTATGTTTTGACGCTGGGATGCTGGTTTAAGCTGCTCCTTTGCCAACACATGACCAGCATAAACCAGCAAAAGGACCAGCAAAAACCAGTAAAGGACCAGCACAAACCAGCAAAGGACCATCTTAAACCAGCATCCCAGCGTCAAAACATACCTAACCAGCATATGCTGGTTTTTTCAACAGGGTGGGCCGTCACAGATACACTCTCTCTTATAACACTCGATCTTTGCATAGATTCCAGTTCCTTCCCTGATCATTCAATATTTAAAGTGTATACAATGATTTATTAACCTTAAGATATTACGGTTAATATAAATAATTATTAATAACTCATCAGTCAAACCATTTCTATATGTCTTTGGAGACGTAACACTCTTACTTCATCATATATATGTCTATAATTAAGTAAACAAAAAACAATATTAATAAATAATAATCTACAAATACATACCATCACCATTTACCTAAGTTTTACTTCAGGAGGAAGTGCATACAAATGAATAGACAGAATGGAGATACATTTGCAGTTTATGTCTGACGGAAGGAAAACAGATGGGAATATTAGTAATGCAATGCATTAGAGATTCCCACATCTAAAGAAGGTCCTCTATCAAAACATTTGCATGTATTTGCTTTCCCTGGCCATAAAAAGGCCTTGAGTGATGAACTATCAGTCATATCAGCCATTAAGATAACACAGTACAGTCTTCATATCACACAAAAACACTGTAAGATCACCTTAAACTTGCCTTTTGCCTTTGATATTCTTCAAATATTGGTGTTGAAGTACATTTCATACTACAAGCAGCCTTAAGTATATTCTTTTGTATTCATGTTTGTATGCCAGAACTTTTAATAAATAAAAAGTACTTTTCAAACCCATAACATATTTTTGTAATTAAGTGATATAAAAGCAAATTAAACCACATCATAAAATTTGTCTAGGCCTAACAGTGCAGGAAAAAAAAAGATTAGAATCTAAAATGAACGGGACAATACCCATAATAGCAATAATACAAAAATAAAAGCCAATGTTAAAATACAGATTTTACCATTTGTCGCTTTCTTGGATGCATGTTCTTGCTTTCTTTTGGAAAATGAAATTAAAATGGGCCAAAAGATTAAAATTTTTCCTGCCACTTAAGTTTACTCCAGACTCAATATGCGGTGTTTTGCTTAAAGCAGATATAATTAACAGTTTCACATGACATGAAATGCTTGTTAATGGTGTTGTGGATGAGGATGTGTAGATATACAGTACAAGCAATATCTCTACCAGACCCTCCCTTCAAGTGATGTAGCATAATATTATCACCACCATTGAAGAGAACATGCACATTGTACATAGAAATTAGCTTTTTAAATAACACATACGTTCAAGTCGTCAGAAGTTAATATGCAAAGAACATCGGGTACCGAATTTGCATCTATCGGCAGCTGAAAGACTTATCGAAGTCACTCAACTCACAACATAAAACACTCATGAATCTTGCCTCGTTTCCATCTTTAGAAATGTGTGATATATTCTTTCATAGCAATATAGTATATGATATAATCTAAGCTGTATTTATTCTAACACTCTTTTTGTATTTTTTAATACTTTACATTTGTATTAAAGTCTTGGAATTTTATAACAGCTCTATCTAAAAATATACTTCTTTATGAAAACTGTCAACTCAGAGAAACGGAAATCAATTCCCAAAGGAACCTACTGAGACCGAAAGCCGCTTTACCTTGAGGAGACATCTGTGAAATGGCTTTGATTTAACAGCGCTTTGGCTGTTGTGTTATTAGCGTAATGGGGTAGTAGCGTTGAGAGTGGCTGATTTGCTTTCGCAGCACGACAATATTGTGGGTGTAATGAGGCTTTACGAAGATTGTAAAAGCCTCTTACTGTCACATCAGTGCAGATTCTCTCTTGAGGAGAAGCTTCCCGCAACCGTGCAGGAGGTAGCAGACGTTCTGTTAAGTGTTTTTTAGGTTGGTAATGAAGTGTTAGCATGTTATATCAACCGCTGTTTTAATAAAACCACGTCTGAGGCTTTTGCATTGGACTGGGAAGTATCTTGTCAGAAGAAATGAGAATTTAGTCAATGAAGATATCTTTGTGAATCTGAAATCCACCCTTATGTGGGCTACCGAGATGAACTTAATTTCAATTTTAGCCACTATCTAAGGAACCACAAATCCACTTTTGACCACTTTCTAAATTATTTTTAAATAATTAGATAAAAAATATATATATATAGACAAAAATTATAAGGTATTTGGTGCTCTAATGTTAAGTGCTAAAGTGCAACCCAACCTGAACAACGTCTATTGGTAAGGTTTATCGACACTCTTTTTAAAGTTGTATGATGTCAATCAATCAAAACTATTGTAATGATGATTATGAAGTGTTAACAAGTTGTAGACCTTGACAAGAGGTGTATTTCTCTCTTAGGACACGAAATGCTTGGACCTGGCACACCTGAAAACCACCTGAATGTGATTTTGTGCTTCCTGTTTCATCTGAACAGTCTGTCTGTTTCGGGACCATATCTGTATTATCCAATCAATATACTGATACTAATTATCCAATCAATATACTGATACTAATGAGGGGAAGTAGCTTGGGCTCTACAAGCAGTTTGAACTCAAGGCTCCTGGGCAACTCCCAATCAACAACCACTAAGCACACAACAAAATGTCTCACTAGCATGTAGAAACTCAGCAACATGTCAAGCACATCTTAAAACGTTTCAAAGACCTACACTGGATACATGGGAAGTATAGTAGAGGTTCAAACCCAGTCAGTTCTTGGGACTTTCCCAAAACCCAACCACCAATCACACTAAAGCCAACAGTCCAAGTTTAACCTTGCTTTTCATCTATTCTTCACTGATGCCATGTTCCCAGGCCACCTTGGCCTGCTCCTCCTTGTTAGTGAGCAGAGGCTGGGAGATCTTGCGTGGCATTGGCCTTGGAACCGGCCTCAGGTCCTCTTCAGGGATACACCCTTCCCTCAGGTAAGGTTTGGGAGGCAGAGCAGGTGTAGGCTCATGGTGGTGGTAGTGCGGATGGGTGATGTGTATTGCATGTGGGTGGTGATGGTGGAGATGGAGGTGATGATGGTGGTGCCCATCGGTGGGCATCCCTGGGGTTACGCCCAATGGGGCTGAATGACTACGGCAGGGAGCGGGCTTGAGAGGGTCCAGAACTTCTGGCTCTGAGACGCTGTAGCGCACAGGGAGGTAGGGACTCTCGGCTTCCTCCGTGTCCGTGGTCCAGGCCTGGCTGCTCGGCATCGAGTCCAAGGTGTCGGCTCGAGCCGGAGGCTCGGAGGAGGACTGGGCGAAGTTGCTCTCGCTCAAGGAGGAGACACCACTGCTGGCGCTGCCGGACAAGGTGGAGTTACTGCCATCCAGGCCCGATTGTGGACTGGTGGGTGAAGCAGGTATAGGGTGCAGGGGCGACTGGTGAGGAAAGGTAAACAAGGTGTTTATATACAATATATTGCATTAGCACCTCATCTGTTGCAGTGTTAAAATGTAAGACCAGTAGGATGACATTAGAAAAAGAAAAAGAGCAATCTTGATAACACCATATTGAGCAACTATACTGTAGACCAATATCAAATCTTCCTTTTATAGGCAAGATTATTGAAAAGGTAGTTTTTAATCAGCTGAACAACTACTTAAACTCAAATGGATATCTGGACAATGTTCAATCTGGTTTCCGACCACATCACAGCACAGAGACAGCGCTCATTAAGATAATAAATTATATTAACTTTCATTTTGATTCTGGCAAAATATCAGTGCTGGTACTACTAGATCTTAGTGCTGCATTTGACACTGTCGATCATAAAATACTTCTAGAGAGACTGGAAAACTTGGTCGGGCTTTCTGGGAAGGTACTCAAATGGTTCAGGTCATTCTTAGAAGGGAGATGTTATTATGTGAGTATAGGAGAGCATAAGTCTAAGTGGACGTCCATGACATGCGGAGTCCCACAAGGCACAATTCTTGCACCACTCTTGTTTAGCCTTTATATGCGCTCACTAAGTCAAATAATGAGAAAGAACCAAATTGTCTGTCACAGCTATGCTGATGATACCCAGATTTACCTAGCCTTATCGCCAAATGACTACAGCCCCATTGACTCCGTCTGCCAATGCACTGATGAAATTAACAGTTGGATGTGCCAGAACTTTCTTCAGTTAAACAAGGAGAAAACTGAAGTCATTGTATTTGGAAACAAAGATCAAGTCAAGAATCTTGGTGTGATTCTGGAGACAGACCTTAGTTTCAGTAGTCATATCAAAGCAATAACTAAATCAGCATACTATCATCTCAAAAACATTGCAAGAATTAGATGTTTTGTTTCCAGTCAAGACTTGGAGAAACTTGTACATGCCTTTATCACCAGCAGGGTGGACTATTGTAATGGTCTCCTCACCGGTCTTCCCAAGAAGACTATTAGACAGCTGCAGCTCACACAGAATGCTGCTGCCAGGATCCTGACAAGAACCAGAAAATCTGAGCATATCACACCAGTCCTCAGGTCCTTACACTGGCTTCCAGTTATATTTAGGATTGATTTCAATGTACCTTTACTCGTTTATAAATCACTCAATGGCCTAGGACCTAAATACATTGCAGATATGCTCACTGAATATAAACATAACAGACCACTCAGATAATTAGGATCGACCTAATAACCTAAGTTAGAATTAATAGTTCAGCCATGAAACTCTACTTGTGTTCTAATTGGTTAGTTCCCAATCAGATTTAGTACTCATTACTGTTTACCTATGAAACCAGGACATATTCAATGAACGCTGCATCTGTGACCTATGCGTGTCCTCATCTTAGCCCACCCCCTCCCCAGTACCACCTGTCTAGATCTGCTATATGGGGGAATCTTCCTTTCTCTAGCAGCAGCAGCATATTTCCTTAATTTTATGATCTGAGCATTTAGCAGAAGTAAGTCTACTTGCTCTGCAGTAGCAGCAGCGTAGCAGATCTAGTCCACCAAGACAAACCTATGTAGATTCTATTTACAGTTATAAAGATTTTACAATCTATCCCGAGAGTTCTCATGACTGAAATCTATTCATAAATTCAAAAATGATTTGATGCTGTACATTACAGACTTGAAAATATGTTTGCCCAAAAGTATGGCATTTCCCAACATCATCAGTAAGCATAGTAAGCAACACAGACCTTGTTTGGCTCCTTCTGGTATATTGATCAAATTTGGAATGAAATGTAGATCTCCAGAAGCAGAATTGAGAACCTCTTTCAGCCTTTATCAGAGCTGAAACCTACCTTCTAAGTGTAACTAAATATTTTACAGTACAATAATATATTTTATTCCAAAGACTAGGGCAGTGCAAAAAATCAAATGCGATTTTCATGCTCATCTCGTCAGTAAAGCCGGTTCTGTGATTAGTAGTACATCTCCAGCATGTGCTTTCAGATGGAGCAGCATTTACTACACAGAGCCGTAGATCACTGACAAGCTACGCACAATCGCGTTCATAATCGGCAATGAATCGCCTGTGATTTTGAACGCGATTTTGCGTAGCTTGTCAGTGAACTACGGCTCTGTGTATTAAATGCTGCTCCATCTGAAAGCACGTGCTGGAGATTTACTACTAATCACAGAACCGGCTTTACTGACGAGATGAGCATGAAAATCGCATTCGATTTTTTGCACAGCCCTACCAAATACATTTAAATATTATTCCATTGTAACTTTTTATTTTAGTTTGCTTCCCCATCTATGGGTCTAATAAACATGGCACTGTATATTATCAATATTGTTGCCTCTTGACAAATTGCTTTTGCTCTTTTTTCTAATTCACTTGGTATAAAAGTGTCTGCTAAATCCACAAATGTAAAAGTTTTTCTGGATGACTGAACCCTTCAAATTTCATTTTACAAATTTTCATCCAACTGATCTTCAGAGAAAATACAACCCAGGCACATACATTCACAAACACATAATAATTGCACTACAGATGCATACATATACACATGCACATGAATTACAATATGAACCCACAACACTTTAGTATCTTAGGGACACCAAGAACTCCCAAACACCAAAAAATATTCTGAACCAGACTCGGGTACAGTTCGGCTCAGGGTGATTTGACTGGGGGACATCTGAAGTCTACAGGACGTAAGACATCTTGGAATGCTAGTGTGGACATGCATGACGAGGACTAACAGGACACATCTAGGCGGAGGATACCTTTCTTAAAGAGCGCGCGGGGAGAGCTGGAGGGAGTTCGTTGATCTGGTGGTGGAAAGCATCAAAGTGCATCGAGAAGTGTCCTAAAGGGGAGACACAGTTGGACAGAACCAGGGTTGGAAAGAGCACACACCGGAACACACTTGCACGCAAACACACGTCAGCATGCACATTCACTCAGCAAGCACTATGAAGGATTCTTTCTGAACTGTTCAGAGGAGAATAATGGGTGGGGAAGAGGGAATGAGGAGCAATGGATCAGCAAAGGATCAATGATCAAATGTGGGAATAACTATTAAATGAAAAAGAGGATGCTACACTTCCAATGTAGGGTGGGTGAAAAGGAAGATGCCACATTTGGGCAGTTGACGTGATGTGTAATATTACTGTATTAAAAATGGCAATAGCAATATACCCCCCCCCCCCCACAAGTTTTTTTTCCTATAATTTACTGGCATGTGCATTTTAAAATAAAATAAACAAAATATTCAAATGGTGAACAATGTGTGAAAAACAGTGCAAAGTTATTTGTCAACCACCAGTTTGCTTCTATATATGGATTTAAGCGTAGAAGATCCAATGTAACTAATGACAAAACATTCATTTTACAAACCATTCCAAAAGTAAAAGGAATGGTTTCATGAAATGTCTTTCTCTTCATTGAAACCTTTCCTCAAATATATTGTTTCTTACCGGGAGGAAGGGTGCGGGGGGGAACGGGTGGGACCATCACACTCCCGACATGAGCAGAGAGGAAAGGCAGAGTGTCCCTGGTGCCACTGTCCAAACTCCAGCTGCTGGGAGCTGTCAACACTGCCAGAAAGAACAAAGACCACCATTACTATACATTTCATTACTGACCTGCTGGATCCTCATCTGAAGGTCACATACCTCAGGAATTCCTGTTTAAAATGTTGAGGTTTGGATCCTAGTGTATCCAATTGACTGCTAAACTAACCTAACAAATGAGACTTCCTTAGCAAACCAGCTTCACAAAGAACCAGCTAGGATGTGTTGGAGAGTATCAAGCATGATGGTATACCAGCTAAACTAGCACTAACTAGCCTGGAAACTCTGGTATCCACTGTTAATTATTAACAAGTGTTTGGTTTATCAAAAATCAGCTTAACAAGCAAGACTTCCTTGGTAAACCTGCTTTACCAAGACAGCTGTTCTACTTAGCTGGTGAAGTTGGTCAACTAGACTCAGCATTCAGCAATAAACTTGAACAAGATTCTTGGTGAACATTTTAAGGAAGTCTTGCTTTCAAAGCTTTTTTTAGGCTGAGGCACAATTTGATAAACCAGAGATCAAGTTAATAACAATTTCTGCAAATAATGATGGCATTTTCAGACTGTTCAGAGCTGGTTTGGAACTAGTAAACCGCATGGTTATGCTGGTAAACCAGTTACATCAGCTCAAAACCAGCCTAGACCAACACTGAAACTCACCATTTACATGTGTTGGCTGAAACTGTTAAGTACAAGTAATTTCCCTTCAAAGACTTGGTCTTGAATTGGTCTGGTTCGTCCCCAGCAAAATTTAAGTCTTAAAAATGAAGAAACCATGAACTTTAACAGACTGTGTGCAGTTTCCAAATGTTAAGGAAAGCTGTGATGCATACGGATTGCACATCCGAATTGCATTCATTCATAGACACATACGAAATTGAACATACTTTCTACCGGTCACAAAGTAAGTTCTTCATCAAATGCAGTACCTACTCTGACAGTATGCAATTTCAGTGTGTATTGTGGATTTATGCCTGATCTGAGGGAATTGTGGGACTGTGAAGGAATAGAGGGGTACAGTGGCTTCAGAGAATCATACACACCCAGTCATACCTTTATCAGCCACAGAGAGATTGGGGTCACTGCAGGGTTTGCAGGGACCAATGACCTGATGGTAAAGAGCCCTCTGATGGTTAGTAGGCTGGTGGAAAATGCAAAAGAAAAAAATATTTTGATATTATATTACTGCCATCACCTTACCATTTAAACTGTGTACTGGTTTTTAAAAAACAAATCAAATTAGCTTGTCTTGCGGTAGACGCACCTGTCCATTCTCGGTCATGTTGGGGTACATGGCACTGCTGGGACGGTCCCTGTGTGGTGGTAGGAGCATTAATATCTCTCGGTTGTGTCTGTATCTGTCAGGTAGTGATGGGGACCCAACTGGAGAGAAAGTAAATAAAATATATCTCAGTTTTAAGTTGAGACTTTCAACTGAGCTGTTCCCAAGGTTAAACTTTATGAAAAGTTTATTGGCGCTCACCTCTGATGCTGCTGTGCCCTGAGTTGATCATCTGAGACGGAGCTGAATGTGTCGAGCTCAAACTGGACGATGATGGACTTGGCTGAAGTGTTATATTGGAAGCAAAAAGGACTTTAAAAGATCAGATACGGCATTCTTGTTGCTATATAGATGCTAAAGTGTTCTGAGAGGTTGTCTGGGGTTGCAAAGGGTGGAAAATTCCAAGTAAATTCCAAAAAATCTTCCCAAAATCCAGGAAAATTTCCAGGAATTCTGAGAAATTCACCTTACATTTTCTGCTAGGTGGATGCTAGATTGATATGGTGTTCTGGGTGGTCACTAGGACATTTTTAAGTGGTTGCTAGGGTGTTATGAGTGGTTGCAAGGTAGTCAATATTCCTGATAGTATGTCGTTAGACAGTTTCTAGGTTCTTAGAGGATGCTTGGGTATTGATAGATCATGGGTGATTGTAGGTGACTTATGAGGGTTCATTAATGCTGGTTTTGTTAGGATATTATGAGTAGTTACTAGGGTACTCACTTGGTGGTTGCTAGGATGGATGATCTTAGTCTGCTAGGGTGTTGCTAAGCAATGCTAGCTCTTGTTTTGCAGATCTTTGTGTGTTCTAATGCATTGCTAGGGCATTGCTGTTGTAAGTGGTTGACACTAATAGGTGGATGTAAGATTGATAGGGTGTTCTGAGTGGTTGCTAGGCTGTTGCTAGGTGATGGGTGGTTGCTGCTCTGCTAATGCTGTGTCTACACCAGATGTAACTGTTGTTGCTCGCATCACACCACAACAGCTAGAGCCTGTTTACACTGGACATAACGAAGTGACCAAATGAGACATTAAGACATTGATAAGATAGTATAGGTGCTTGATAGAGTATTAGCAGTGTTAGGGCATTGTTATGCAGATGCTAGGGTGTTCTGTTGGGTTGTTAGGCTACGTGGTGGCTGGTTGCTGAGATGTTGCTAGGCTTCTATGATGTTCTGGGTGATAACTAAGGCATTGCTAACTAAAGCACTGCAGGTAGTTGTTAGGCCGTACTGAGTGGTAACGATGGCATTCCTAAGTGGTGCAATGGTACTTATAGGTTACTATATGTGGTTGCTACAGCCTTCTAAGACATTGCTAGGGCATTGCAAGGTGGCAGGTGGTTGCTAGTGTGACGGAGGCCAGCTAGTAAGAGCTGTGCAGGTAAGCCTCAGACCCCTGATCTAAAGAGGCACACTAGTGACTGATGCTAGAGGCTGCGGTCTTTAGCGTCCTTGTTAGCGCGCCCAACTCCAATGCCGGAAAGGCTGGTTCAAACCCCACTCAGGTGTGTGTTTCCCAAAAGCATCATTAGCTAACGGTCGCAAGTTTCATTGAACTGTATTGGTAACGACAGAACTTGCCATCATAGTTGCTTTGGGAAATGCACCCCGAGCGGGTTGAGTAGAACTGGAGGGCTTAAAATTGGTGCCGTGACCCGGATGGGAGTGAGGTTTAGGGGGTGATTGTAACGGAGGCCAGCTAGTTAGAGTTGTGCATGTAAACCTCATTCTTCTGGCCTAAGGAGGTATACTAGCAGCTGATGCTAGAGGCTATGGTCTTTAGCATCTTTGTTAACACGCCCACCTCCTATGCCGCAAAGGGTGAGTAGAACCAGAGGGCTTTTACATTGGTGCCGTGACCCAGATGGGAGTGAGGTTTGGGGGGGTGACTGTAACGGAGGCCAGCTAGTAAGAGCTGTGCAGGTAAGCCTAGCTCCCCTGGCCTGAAGAGGTGCACTAGCGACCGATACTAAAGGCTGTTGTTGGTTTGAATCCCACTCTAAGAGGGTTAAGTAGAACCAGAGGGGTTACGCTAGGATATTCTACATGCCTACTTGGCTGCATGAATGCTAGGGTGTTTTGTTTGGTCACTAGGGTGAATTTGTGCACTATATGTGTACATTATGAGCTAATGTAGCCCACCTGCATGCGGTAGAGGTCCTCCGGGTGCTCCATCATACTGTCTGTCAGGATGAGCAGGTTTCCTGTCTCACTGGAGGTGTGAGAGGAGAGAGAAGAGGAGGAGTGGCGGACAGAGCCCAACACATTCAGAGGGCTAGAGACAGATAGACAGAGAGAGAGAGAGACAGGGAGAGGAGAGGGATAGGGAATATAGGAATGGAAACGAAAAGCAGGAGAAGTGGAGAACGGGGAACGCATGCATGGATAAGGAAAATCAATCAAGATGGAAAAAGAGAGATTGTAGAGTGGTAGAACACAGGCAGCCATGCAAGTATGAACAAAAAAGGAGGAAAAAGACAGAATAAACAAGAAAGAAACAAGAGGAATATAAAGCATGCACAAAGAAAGATGTCAAACATACGTGAGGAAAAGTGACAGAAGAGCGAAAAGGAGAGAGAGGAACAAACAGAGAGAGACATGAGAGAGACGTGGCAGAGCTGAAGCTAGTGTGTTCAGGGTGGGCAGCATGAGCGTGTACATGTGTTTATGAGGAATACACGGTCAAGGAGTGTTTGTGAAGAGAGAGGAAGGGCTGTGTCTATAGAAAACAGGAATCTCTGTCTATAACCCACATACATGTGTGTGCAACACACACTGATGACAAATTCATCACAATGCAATACGAGGAACCACACAGCAAATAAATATTTAAATTATATATATATATATATATATATATATATATGGAATTAACATTTTTGGAATATATAAATTAAAATCATAAAGTGATGTTGACTTGAAATTTTCTCCAGATGTCGGTAATAACCCAAGTAATCCATACACGCAGGGAAAGTAAAACAAAGAAGTTCATAAATTAAGTTATGTGTAATAAAATGGAATGACAGAAGGAAAGGTATTGAACACATGAAGAAAGGGAGGTGCAAAAAGGCATGGAAAGCCAAGACACCAGCTGAAATCTATAAGTAATTAGAAAGCAATCCTGCCCCTAGTCAGTGGAAAGTATTTAGCTGGTTCAGTCCCAACACCTACAGCCAGTGTTGCCAATTTAGTTACTTTGTAGCTAGATTTAGCCCCTTTTGAGACTTTTTTCAAAAGTTTAGGGACAAATATAGCAACTTCTTGGACAAACCTTATCTAAGTTCTCATCTTGCCCACTGATCTACGTTCATCTTTATATAGATCAGTGAATTTGCCATTGTGATGTCATCTAGTGACATTTAGCTACCAGTTTTAGCTACTTTCAATTGAAAGCAGTTGGCAACACTGCCTACAGTGCCAGGATGATGAAGATGAAACAAGGGGTCCACTATTTCAGCAAGAAAATGATCCCAAACACAGCCAAGGAAACTCTTGATTGGTTTCAGAGAAAGAAAATAAATCTCCTAGAATGGCCCAGCCAATCACCTAACTTGAATCCAATAAAAAATACGAACTAAAGATTAGAGTTCATAGAAGAGGCCAACAGAACCTTCAGGATTTGAAGACTCTGTGAAAGAATGGGCCAAAATCACACCTGAGCAATGCATGCCACTAGTTTCTCCATACAGGAGGCGTCTTGAAGCTGTCGTTACCAACAAAGGCTTTTATACAAAGTATTAAAAACATTTCAGTAAGTGTGTTCAATACTTTTTCTTTGTGTCTTTGAATTTTATTACACATGACTTAATTTCTGAAATTATTTGTTTTGTTTTATTTGTATGTATGGATTACTTGGGTTACTACCGACATCTGGTGAAAATTTAATGTCAACAGCACCTTTAGAAATATATTTACTGAGAAAAATGGGGACGTGTTCAATACTTATTTTACCCGCTGTAAGTGTAATAAAAATGTATTTTAAATATAAATGTATTTTAATTTAATTTAAATTAATTACATTTTTATTTTATTAAATTTTACATGAGTAACACGAATAAACTTTGGACTGATAAAGCAAATAAAAAAATCTGAATATACAAACTTATTCCATATTTTCCATATTTATTTTCTTTTTGGCACCTCATAATACTGTTACTGTATATCTCATTACATGCTTATAGTGTTATTATGCTATTAAATCTCATTAAAAAAAAGGGGAAAAAAAGTATATTAAGATTGCGGGATAGATTTCCATTTTGTGAATGAATTTGATTTGGCTTCTGTTCAAACTGAATGTTCTAGCTAAAATACTCTCTAAAACTTGAAACATTCCTTTCATTCATACAGCGTGTTTTTCTTGTTCTAATACACACTTGGGCTCATTTACAAAGTTTATATACAATATATAAAAGTGTGTGCATGCGTGACTGTGTCTGTGCGGGTGGACTGACCTGTGTCGGTGCATGAACTTGATACTTTCAGGACTCATGGGACTGTGGGTGGCGAGGATGCCGCGTGGGGTGCTAGACCCTGAGCAGGCCGGACTCAGCTTATCCAGACCGGGCAGGCCCTGCAGGGCCACATAGAAACACTACTCTGAATATCTACACTGTTGGCACTCATGCCAGCACATATTTCATACAGTACACCAGTTTATATTACAAAAAACGGCGTTTGATACTGAATCTGTGCAACGAGTAAGG